ACTTAAACTATTTATGAGTATAACATAGAATATGGGTCTCATTAACCGTAATAATGTATGTTAAACACAATTAGTAATAATAACAGTTGCAAAATTAATTAGTTAGCTAATTAATGTTAGTACTCATAAAATTATTCATTTAATTTCCATTTAAAATGATTAACATAGCACATGTTTGGCATCGATGCTGCAATTGCATCACTGTTTTCTGATGTGTGGCTTAGAGCACCGTTTTCTGAACGGTGCCTTTATTTTTGTTTGGAATTGTTGCTGCCAGATAAGATGTTTCCAGGAGCAACAACTTTTTCTATTTGGTATAATTGCTCTAGGAAACGCTTTCAGCACTAGTACCCATTATCCAGTGCCACATCAGTGGCACATCACTGCCCTATTGGCAGCAACGAGCTGCAGCTCCAAGAAATGCCAGATTTGACGTTGCTCCAAGCCATGGCTTCCCGATTTCCGAAGCGTGTCTTAGAGCACCGTTTTTTTTTATAAAAAAATGGTTCCAAACAAATGCCTATTTACCGGAGCACTGTTTTTTCCAATGTGGCGTCGTTGCTCCAAGAAACGGCAATGATGCCAAAGAGCCTCATAATAGAAGACTCAAAATAAATTACTAATTTTTTTAATTTTAACAATTATTATTTTTAAAATTAATTACAACAATATCATGCTTAATTTATAATAACAAATTCTAACATTATTAAAAATCTTAAACAATAAAATCCTTAGAATAATATCATAACTTAAATTATACATAAATAGCAATTTACTAAATAATTAAAATTTAATAAAAGTAAAACATGAGATTTAAATCTAATTTTAAAATAATGAGAAACAAGTTGGGGTCAGTATAGGTTTGCCTTCACCATAATCTGACCCGCCAATGCTTCTTCTCAAACCCGACTTAATGACATTTAGTTTCCAAACCTATAGAAGTTCAACTTGATGCCAACCAAACTTTCATCTATTCAATTGTATTCTTTTATAATGCATTTGATAACCCAAGTAAAGATGGCAATCTAACCTACCCTTGCTAGGGTTCCGACTTGCCCTGCCCTGATCAAGGTGATTTTTTTGACTGTTGATCAGGTTCATGGTGGGCTTATGATATGACACCTATAAACATTATTAAAAATTAAATTTTAATGAAAAATAATATAGTTTTATCAAACAATACATACCCAATCAAAAATGAGATACGACTCCTAATTCAATTTTTTAAAACAAAACTCATGCATCGTATGGGTCCTGAATAGTGTGGGATGAGTTAGTGAATCGGTGTTTACCATTCTGTTATGTCAAATGCCATATCCATTTTGAATTTTGAGGCCCTAAATCTCCTTATTACCTCAACTCTTGTTAGAATGCTGCAATATATATAGGCATAACATGTTGGAAAAGAAGATAAAGAAAATGATCGTAATCACTTACATCATTTTCCTAATTAAAGGGCCAAATCGTTTAGATGGATCAAAACATAATGCCTTTAGTAAGATGCTGTCAATAACTTGTCGAAGAAGAATTGGATATACACCCTTGTACAAAGCTGGCTTAACCATTACGAAGTCAAATAATTCGCCCGTCCAAATCAGAACTTGAAGTCAATTTTTTATTTTTTTATTTTTTTTGCGGGGGGGAGAGGGGTCTGATTTTTAAAACTGTTGACTTAATCATATATACATAATATATACATATAGATATATATATATATATATATATAGCTTAAAAAATGTATTAATAAGTAATAACAATATATGAGTAGATAAATTCATTATTAGTAGAATCTGATCATTATTTATGATCACTCCAAATGCTGAGTAGAGAATAAGAGAAGTACATGATTATTACATTATAAAAACACTGCAAATGCTAATAACGGGGGAAGTGATAAAAAATCTAATCAGTATCTGATACCGATTTGGAAAGAGAAGAACCTCATATATTTATGTTTTTGTGGAGCAAATTATAAGGAGGCAGTTGTCTTTGCTCCTGTCCAGGGGCGGGCAACAGAGCCACGTCGTTCATGTTATCATCAGAAATTTAAGATTTTTTCTTTTCATCCACCAAGAAAAAGGAGGTAAGCTAGCATTAATCCTTCTTGGAGCAGAGAGAAGTGCTTTTAAAAAAGTAGAGAAAATCATTGGTTACTAAAGCATTTTCCTGAAATAGAAATATGCAACTCCGATCCACCAGCTGAAAACTGGGAAGAAATTATATAAATATGCTCCTATTAAGATTCCCCTTGATTTGGCAAGTTATCCAGGATGCTTTAATAAAGGATCTATAGCTCTTTGCCTTTGGACCCAGAAATTAATCAGCTGCGACATGAGGACAAGGTAAAGGTGGATTATATTCTTTTGTCATTTCTGTTTATATTTTTTATACTTGTATAGTGGGACCTAGATGTCGTGCATTATTTATATTGATTCTGCTACGCTATCAAGGATGGGTTGAGACTTGAGAGAGAGATTTGATAATAGAAATATTAGACTTCTATGCTATCAGCATTTCTACATGAAACCATCAAACAATCAAATAGGTGCAAAGGATATGATTAGCTAGTCTCAAGGCAACAAGAGAGAATCTATATATACTTGCACTAGTGATTTTATTTATTTTTTTATTGGCTAACTAAGCAAACTTTTGAGTGTGGGAGTGGAAATGATGAATTTGGGATTCCATAGATATGTTATGCATCTTATGCTGAATTGAACTATTCCTTAGACTACCTCTAAGGTTCCGTTTGGACCAGCTTTTGCATTGACCTCAGGGCTATGGGAACAAAAATGAGCCAAACAGTATTTTGCCCAGCTAGTTTAGTCATACCCCTAAAACTATTATGGCCAAAATACCTGCTAAAACTGTCCACCTAGCCAATCCGACTTAGGAAGTGGTGAATTAACATTGATTTTGGGTAGTCAATCATTTGTTTTTAAAATTTAAATGCAAAGTTTTAGAGATCATAATTTTGCACTCGATTGTCTAGTTTGGATGATCACTGTTTTTTATTCTGGGAAACTTTTTGATATCTACGTGATTCCAAGGCATTGAATCCCCACTACTTTTTCCAAAAAAAAAAACATTTTTTTTGCATTCAATTTTGAATGTAAAATTGAAACTAAAATAGAAAAACATATGTTATAGCAAAATATAATTATATATTTTGAATATAAGTATATAATTAATATTATTACATATAATTATATATACATCATCATGGTTCAACCATTGGTTAGGCATCGGTTGAACCTCTGACTCATGATCCCTTTTTTCGTTTGACACTTGATCCAATCTAAACATTGGTTTTAAACGTTTGGTCAAAATCACTTTTAAAAGCATAATAATCTAGAGCAAAAGTACTTTGAAGACCCATTTAATGCTCGTTTGGAAGGGCTTTCACACAGCGACTTCTGGTGTTGCAAGGTAGGCCCTAGATTGAAGGTTGTGAAATAGGTTCAAAATATCAATACACCTTGATATGGCCGAAGGGATGTATCGATACTTTGAACCTTCTTACCTTTACCTTTTTTAGTTTTTTTTTTTAAATTCACATGACTATTATTTTATATACTTTATATATTAAAAACAATATTTATCAAAACTCCCTTTAAATAGATGAATCAGGAGTCAAAAGATATGATATAATATGCCTCATATCAAGCATATTGTATTGAAAATTTGAACCTTAATTGTAAAGCCATGTTTGGCGAAAAACCTGGAAAGCCAAAAACATGTTTATAAATCTAAAACAAATCGATTTTCTAGTGAAGTTAGTTTTTTGTAGCTTCTCTAAAGAGACTCAGTCAATACAGCTCAATTAACATCGAAGCCCTCCCAAACAGGCTTTTAGGCCTTAAAAGCCCAAATCTGAAAGTTTAATTATCCAAAAAGGTTGTGAAGATCGGTCAGATTCACTAGCACTAGGGGCTAGGGCCGTTTGCAATATCTTCCACCGCCTACGAAGCATCAGGCCTTATCATGAGCTTCTTGAGTTTTGATGCATGTGTAGCATTAGCCGCGAAATCTGAAGCCAAAGATGATAAACTTTCACTCAGCTTCTCTCCCCATTTCCATTATAGCCATGGAAAAACGGATGTTGCTACGTTTAATAAGAGGGTAAAATACATAAATCTCCACTGAAGTTTCTGACAATAATAAGGACCTCTCCTATAGTTTCACTTTAAACCTTTTTGAGCTTTTAAAGAACTCGACAAAAAACATCTCTTTAGTTTGACTCAAACGGAAAACTGATAAAGTTACGAAATTGTCCCTGACTAATTGTCAAGGAGTCATTAAAATATTTCAAAATATTGAAATTGCCCCTGCTTGTCCAGTAGGATCTTTGGCCTATTTAAGGTGATGTTTGGCACCGATGCCATTTTCTGAGAAAGCGGTGCCATGTAGGTGCCACATCAGAGAAAGCGGTGCTTTAAACAACGCCCTCTTGTTTGGTATTATTTTTCTATAAAAAAACGTTGTTCCAGACTATGCCTTGAAAATCGAAAAAGTGTGACCTGCAGCAATGTCAAATTCAATGTTTTCTAAGAAAACAATGTGTTACTATCAACAGTGCAATGATATGGTATCATCTTGAACATCGGATAATATAAATCAACGTTGAAAATGTTATTGCCAGCACTGGTACCAAATAAAACCAATCCTCTTTTCTCAGAAAACGCCTATGTGGCAACACCTGTTCCAAACAAAAAATAAGAGAAAACAATGCTTACAACAACACATGCCCAGCACCGTTTTTATGAGAAAACGGTGTGATATTCCCAGCACCAATGCCAAACACCTACTAAGTCTATGCATACAACACCATTATTGTTCATGAACTTCAACCCTTCTGCAATACCAATGGTGATTCTTATAATCGCCTTAGTTTGAAGCTTTTTTTTTCTTTTGAATGATGTCATGGGCAGATATCCCCCATCCATTAACTTAGTCACCACACACAGCCCATGATTTTCTTCAATGCAAATGTCGTGGAACTATAAAATATCCTTGTGACCATAGCTAATCAGCTCCAAAAGATCTCTTCTAATCTCAAACTCATAAGCACTTCCTTTCTCGCACTCTCTAAGCTTCTTCGCTGGACAGGATTTTCTACGCCACTCATCAATAGAGATAATGAAGGATATAACCAGTAGGGGACTCTGAAGCTGAACTTTATGATTTGAGTTCTCGATGCCATTTCCTTGACTATGTCTGTACTTGTCAATGTCAATCTCTTCAATTTCTCGACCCTTAGTGTTCTCCTCTTGGCAACCACAGAGACCAAATGGGAGCTTCATAGTGATAGGTTTAGGCTTCTTCAAAACAGATTTTAGGGAAGTCTTGACCCGGGTCTTGAAGGATTTCTCTTGCCCGGAATGAACCAGAAAAAAAACAATCCCAAGAGAAAGAAACCCTTTTTCTTAAAGATTTGGTCTTCTTACAACAAATGGCCACACTATCAAGTGCCCCCAACATGGCTAGAAATGAAATAGAAGAGGTACAGGCAAATGTGGTCTTGAAAATAGATCCTTGAACTTCGCCATCAGACATTTCTTGAATAAAAATCACAAGGTGGTCATCCACCATTGCCTGCTCGAGCATTCGAATATGAAGAAAAACATCTTTCATGTCGAAACCCGCGTGCGCAAAACCATTAAAAGCAACAATAGTAAAGAGATGAGAAAGAAAAATGGTAAATTACAAACATCCTGTACTTTGGGGGTAGTGATAGATAAGTACCTTGAACTTTCAATTTCATTTAAACATTACATAATGTCAAAAATACCTTTTTCATTAATTTTTAATATCATTCTCGGGTAATCAAACGTTTCCCCACGGTGACATTCTCACATGGACAAAAAATAACTTATTTAAATTTTCCGATGACGGCATTCTCTAGTGATAATTTTATTTCATATAATGATCTCAAAAATACATGAGAAGAGTATTTTTGACATTATATAATGTTTAACTGACGGAATACTAATGGATGGACCCAAGTGTTTATTTCTGAGAGTTCAAGGTACTCTAAGTGTTGCAATTGAAAGTTCAAGATACTTATCTATCACTACCCCCAAAATAGAGGGTTCCTATTTGTAATTTATCCAAAGAAAAACCACCCCAAGAAATTTAAAGACTACTCACGCAAAGTAATTGTGGACAAAGACCAAAGAACCCTAGAAAGAAGAATTAACTCAATTGAGATTTTTCTCTATCAACAAGCATTTGACCTGAGCAATAAGGAGTCCAAATGCTTCCGAATTTTGGAGATGAGCCTCTCTAGGAGTTGGCTACCAGGATATAGTTGTGGGAGATTCCGCAAGACGCTACCCCACACAAGCTTTCAGCTACTCAGTATCCCAGTCGTTCACGAACCAAGTCAAGCAGACTCGGTTCCTTGGTGATAATCTGCAATATCTAGTGAGGGCAATTTCAATGTTTTGAAATAGTTTAATGACACTTTGAATAATTAAGAGCAATTTTATAATTTTAACAATTTTTTGTCTGAATTAATGGCAAAAGGAAAGTTTTTATCGAATTCTTTAAAAGTTCAAGGGAGACAAGTAAAACTATATAGGAGGTTTTTATAATTGTCAGAAACTTTAGGAAATGTTTTTATAGTTTTACCCTTGATAATATAATAATTTTACATCTTTTGCTTTTAATTACATTAAAGTAAAACTGAATGTGAGCATGCATTATATCCATCAAGTAGTTACAGTAGTTATAAGCATTTAGGTAAAAGAAGAGGAGAGAGTCTTCCGAGGAGATTTGGGATGTTGCCAATTCCATGGGAGATGCAAAAGCACTAGGAACGGATGGACTTAATACCTATTTTTTCAAAAAGTTCAAAGATGTTATTGGAGAGCTAGTGGAGGGTACAGTTAAAATTTTATCCATTCAGGAAAAATGACGAGGGAAATTAATAGAACTTTCATTATTCTAATCCCAAAATCAGACAACTCGGATGAGGTGGATAAGTTTAGACCAAGTTTATGTAATACAATATACAAAATCATTGCAAAAATCCTAATGAACAGGTTGAAACCTATTCTTGGTGAAATTATTGTTCCATTTCAAAGTGCACTTATTCTTGAGAGACAAATATCAGACAATATTTTAATAGCCCATGAGATAATGGACACCATGAAAACAAAGAAAGGTGAACAAGATCTGATAGCTTATAAAATTGATATAGAAAAGGCATATGGTAAACTGGAATGGAAATTTATAGAAAAAACTTTCAGGAAAATGGATTAATTGGGTTAATCAATGTATCAGTACAGTGTCCTACCAAAATTTAATTAATGGTTCCCCTACAAAGAGTATTAAGCCTAGTAAGGGTATCAAAGGGGGATCCATTATCACCCTATATATTTGTTCTTTGTAGTGAAGCCTTATGTACAATGGTGGGGAAAAATAATTCAAGAGGAAAAGAGATCTTGGGGTTCAAGGCCTCAAGAGGAGGACCAACAATTCCAATCCTTCAGATGACTACATCATCTTTGCTAAGGCAAATTTGGATTTTGCCAATAGAATCAAGGAAATTATGGAGACTTTTGCTGGAGCATCAGGGCAAAATCTTAGCTTCACCAAATCTACCATTTTCTTCTCTAGAAACACACATCAAAGATTTCAGAGAATTATTTCAAATATACTAAAAATTCTCATTGAAAAGAAGGAGACTTACCTAGGAGCCCCTATAATTGAGGGGATAGTTAAGAGAGAGACCTTCAAGAAAGTGGAAAAGGAATTAGCAGGATGGAAAAAAGAATTGGCTCTCTCTAGTTGGGAGGGTGACCCTTCTCAAATCCTCTGTGAGCATGATGCCCCAGTTTCTAATGAGGGTGTTCAAACTTCTTAAGGCAACCGTTTGGAATATTAATTGAAAAACAACAGAGAGGTTCTCTCTGGAAACAAAAGGGTGCAAAAAGTGTAAACTTGATTAAGTGGGTGTGAATATGTGCTTCGAAGGATAGAGGAGGATGAGGGCTAAAAAATCTTCAATGGATGGATTAATGAGGTTAGTATAGCCAAACTTGGATGGAAAATATTAACCGATCGTAGTAACCTATGGGTGAGAGTGATAAAAGGAAAATATCTCAAACATGGAGATCTGTGGTAGGCTATTAAGAAGAGGAAAATGTCATGGGCTATCCGGTTCTAGAGTGGGAAGTCTATCACAGATCTCCAAGCCCATGGAACATCCGAGTTTCCTTTTATCTAAGCCAAACCTCCCACTCCAGTAGTCACTCTAGAACCGGAGTTAAGAAAGGGGATCGGATGGAAGGCAGGAAGTGGGAAGTCTATCCGGTTCTAGAGTGACTACTGGATAGACAGCAGTAACTTAGAAAGCATATTAAGTAATTCTCTGGAGAATTAGAACTATAAGGTGTGTGATTTTATTAAGGAATCGATTATGGTAGTCAAAACTTCTTATCCCTTGTTTTAGTTTTAATTAGGAGTTGCCAAGAAAAGAGGTTTTGATCGACGATTTCGTAAAGGATTTGGACAAGTTTTTGACCGACGAATAAGGGTGTGGGCAACCCCAAATTAAGTTACGACATTAAAGATTCTTGGGTCATTTAGGAAGCTCGAAAATTGATTTATTATTTGCTCTAAAGATTTTTTTTTCTGGTTAAACTACTGATGCATGTTAAAGAAATAATTCATGCCACAACTTAGTAATGAATCTATTAATACATGTTAAAAAAAAAATCGGAGGTTCTCTAGCCAGGTGAGAAAAGTTAGAAAAATAGGTGACATGACTTCACCTAGAAGGAAAAGTTCCCTTTATGATAAACTACGTCCATACATCTCTAGCACATGTTTCTTCTAGTCTACACTTCGACAGCTAGAGGTTGGTGCTTTGATTAATTTAGTATTTCTTAAAAGGACTAGTGATATATATTCTGTTGTGTTGTGTGACAATTGACAATGAGCTAAAAGCTCGAATTTTTTAATGTAAAGATAACGCCGAAAGGAACATTTTAGGTCCCAATTCCCCAGCTACGAAGATGTCTAGCTGCTTAGACTTGTACACTAAAACGACACCAACTAACATCAAAATCCGATTGTATAAACTCCTTTTAGTTGATGTTGTAATGGCTCTTTCTACATGTGATTAATAAAACCATCTCAGTGCTTTCATAGTTTCGTTGTTTTTATTGACTAGTAGGACCACTCTTAAGGTTCTTAGCAATTTATTCATTTTTAATTCTATCCTTTTTACTTTTAGGCCACATTAAGGGGTGATTTTTGGCTTAGATGGGCTTAAGGACAAAGTCACTTTTTGAAAACAAGAATGTTTTTCTAGGTTCTGCTGGCTGATCATCAGTTTCTTTTTATTTAAAATTGCTTCGTACAAACGCAAAAGGCTAAATGGAATTTTTTTCTCTAAGCTTTTTTTATTTACAAAGACTGTTTGCTTTGAGCAATTAGCTTCTGGCTTCCCAAACATACACGTTAGAGGAATACTCCCAAACTCGGCCTTAGTATACTAACAAATTGGACTGGGATGGATCACGGATCCATGATTAGCTCAGTTATAAACAGATCCAATTGGGGTTACTGATCAAATTTAAATCACAAATATTTGCAACCCTAATTTTTACCTCCTACATATCATAACATATGAGTTTTCCATATGGTGGGTTAAGGCACTTGATTAAATTCATATCTCTTTGATACAACGCAAGGCTCTTAGCAAGAAAATATAATAAGGAATTGATGGAGGATGATATTAAGTTATTATTTAGGGATAAATAGATTGCAATCCATCTCACAATTCTGAATTAAATTACAGACCTACCATAATTTAAAATTATAGTTACCTGCACCTAACACCCATTAAAACCTCTATTATTTATTAGCATGCCCCTAGTAGCCTAATATATCATGTAAAAAACTTTTTTATTTTTTTATCAATACATGTGATGTAAAAAGAAGTTGTATAGAGTTAGTCGCGATGGAAAAGAATCTCGTATCTCTGGAGTCAGGCCTGAATGGTGGGGCTCACCCTACTACCGGATGCGGTTGCGTGCTTGCGTTTCTCCAAGCAGTCACATCTCGAATCTCGACCGTAGCTTTCAAATGGTCGTGCCATTCCGTGGGTGTAGAGTGGGCCGTGTCCTGCCATTCCTGATAAAAATTTAGGAGAATGACCAATCAGCCCATATCAGAATTTTATAACCCCAAAAGTTTTGGGATCGGCCTAGGCCCGTGCGGACCCATGCCATGCTTGTCGTGCCGCGGGCCATACTGGCCCGTGGGTCAAGCTTTGGCCCAAGTCGGGCCATGGATCGGACCAAATCTATTTTTGTTTATTTATTTAAAAATTTGAAAAAATTTAAAATTTTAATTTTATATGAATTTTGATGTATACAATTGCTTATATATACAATAATTAAATAAATTAGTATAATAAAATTAAAAACAATTGTTTATTTATATATATATAATATATAAATATATTATATATTATATATATAAATATATATAATATATAAATAGTATATATGGGTCGTGCTAGGCCAGGCCATAGGCTGGATCGTGCCAGCATGCAAGCCACCGGGCGACACGACCCGCTTGGTCATGCCATGTCAAGGCGACACGACCCGCTTGGTCGTGCCGTGTCGTGCCGGCTCGTGGGCTGTCATGTCGTGCCGTGCTGGGCCACGGGTGGCATGGCCCGATTTATACCTCTATGGCAAGTGACATCTCCTACCTAGCTTTCAAACTTTTATGTCTTGAAGTTTTTATCCTTTTATCATTATAATGGGTAAAACATAAACCTGCTTTATCCATAAACAATTTTCCGGATTCGTTTTACAAATCAATCCAAAATCGGTTTTTGGATTAGTGGTTCGATCATTTGGTCCAAAATGAACGGTTCATTGTAATTAAAAAATAAAAATTGGTCAAAAAGACTAAACATGTCCAAGGTTCAAAAGATTGTTATGTATCGGCCCATATCAACTGATACATATTATATTAGGCCCTTCCTGATACGCCTCTACAGGGGTTGTATCAGGTCAGAGCCTGGTTCAGAGGGTAATCAGGACTTAAACCGACCCCCCTAGACCAAAATTGAAAAAAAAAATTAAACATTAAAAAAAGAAAAAAAGGACCAATACAGGCTGATACGCTTTACCGGCATATCGACCAGTATCGATACTTTGAACCTTAAACGTGTCAACAATTTCAACTGCTTCGATCAGTGGGTTTTAACAAAGAAAGGAATCAAGGTGAAATGGAATTGATTGCTTGAATAGTTTTTAGGCCGAAAGCTCCAACGATTCAGGTCAACAAAGGTTTTAAAAATCATTGAATTTTGGTCCT